CGGGCTTCCTGAGCTTGAGCCCGTGCCTGCGCTGACATCGCCCGGCGCTTGCGAATGCGCTCTTCGAGCATTGAACGGTTCTGTTTGACGCGGACCCATTCTTTCTTTGGCGGCTTGGAAGAGTCGCGATTCATTGGTGGTTGAGGCTGTTTGCTTCTTCTGTTCTTCAACTCCGCGTGGTAGCGGAATCCGTCCGTAGACTCCATCGCCTTAGCGAATTGCCGCGCAAGGCGTTGACGACGCCTCTGGCGGGCTCTCTTTGAGAGAGTCACAACGCCCTGAACAGTAGAGGCGTTGGCGGGAGTTGGGTTGACCTGATTGGAGGTCGGTGGAACTTCATTTGACGCAACTTCGGCGTCAGTTGGGTTGAGAGCTTCGTGGGCTTCCCGAGCAGCTTCAAACCAACGAGCTTTTCTCCCGGAGGAGAACTTCTTGGACTTGCGGGGGGAGATAGAGCCGGACGAGGACACGTACTCCTCGAACTTGGCTTGGTCGAACTCGTACTCGACCTCCTCCACGACCGGGATTGCAATCCGCGGCTGCGACGCATCGATCTCGTTGGCGAGATCGTCGGCTCCCACTGTGGTCGCCAGATTGTTCGCGTGGAAAACTGTTTTCTTTTTCATTGATATGATTGTCATCTTGGGTTACAAAGATCCGGTCTTTTATAGATCCGGTTACAACTAAATCAAAGAAAAAAATAAAAATTACAACTTTCCTCTTGTGAACAAATCGCAAGCTCCTGTTTTGCGGTTGCTTGCTTGTGTGGGTTCTTTGCCAACGCCGGGGTTAATCCGTGGACCACCGCGCGATCTAGATCCGGTCGGATCTACACGATTATGCGGGTATTATTCCACGAAGGGAATAATAGCCGGGAGGGATTAATCCACCAAGGGAATAATCGCTCAGATCTCGAGATCTAAGACCAAGCTTAGATCTGGAGTGTAGTCTCGTGTAGATCTCAGATCTGTTCTTTCTTCCTCTCGAGATCCTGCCTTTTCTGACGTGGATGGTCGCCGAGGATCAGATCTGAATGTGCAAGTCTTCTGGTCTTCAAGCTCCGAGTTCACTCTTCAATCCGGCAGAGTTTCGGCTCTTGAAAGTTCGACCCCTGAAAATGAACATCTCTAGGCCTATTTATAGGCTCTCAGGACAGTGGCTGCAAAAAGGGAATTGTCGGCCCCCTCTGGCCACTGTCGGCCACCTCGGGCCACTGTCGGCCACAGGTGGCTCGGCTTTGGCCGAGCCCCCGCGGGCGGTGTTTTCCGACTTTTTCGAGTCGTTTTCCGTTGGTTCCAGTTCTGTCCGTGATTCGGTTGATTGAGACTCTGATTGGTTGATCTGATTTGGCAGTAAGTTGGATTCCTGATTTGGCAGTAAATCCGCTTCTGAGTTCGAGTCCGAAATTGATCTTGATTCGATCGTGATTCGTCGCCTCGTTGGTTCGTCGGTTTGTGCCGAGCTATGCTAGGGGACCTATAAGCAATTTTATATGCCTACATAGCCTAACTGAAAATTATATCTCCATGATGATAGATTTGTTTGATTTCTCATTTTTCCATCTGTACCTTTTTGAGAAACCAAAGGTGGCGGTGGTGGTGATGATGATGCTGATCATCATCGTTCATCATAAGTTTATGCATGGAAGTATGTACACATCATGAAGGAACATAGGAAATACAATCACTCATGGTGATTTTGATTGTCTTAAGGTTAAGACTTCATGCTCACCTTCCTTGGGATACCTACAAGGATAGAGATCTCATACAAAGGTCTCACTCCATAGTCATCAATTGCAACTATATTCCTTTGGTATCAAGACATGGGAATAAGTATGAAC